CCCCGGCAGCCCCGGCGGCAGCACGGGCACCAGCCAAGAAGGCACCAGCGGGAGCAGACCAGGCAGCCACGACGGCAGCCTGCATCGCGGCCATGCACGCGACTATCCCGACGAGAGGGGCCGGGCCCCCTCCCCGCGCGCGTCACGCTTTTGCGACCAAAGCATGGGGTGGTGCCGCACGAGCGCGGGCGAGCCCAGCGGCGGGCCCGGTCGACCTGGCAGCCCAGGTCAGCGGCCTCGCCACTCAGACGGCGACCATCCAGCGGGCCCTCGCGGCGGTCCTCACGAACGCCTCGCTGGCACCGCTGGCGGGCCAGGCCGCCCCACAAAACGCGGGGCAGGCCGCCCCCGCGCCTCCGCCAGCGAGCCCAGTGGCGAGGGCCAACGATAGGGGGGGATACGTAGGGATAGGGGGGGGGAACATCGAACTGGAATCGGCGATACATCGCCGATAGATGGGCGATAGGCCTGCGATAGTGAATCCGCACCTTCCTGGGCAGGTTGGGGCCATCGGGCCCCTATCGGCGATCAATGGGCGATTGGGGGTCGGTGCGTCCCCCCCTATTCCCATCCCCCCCTGTCATTCTTTCCAGAGGCATGAAGCGCGATTGCACTGGCCTGTTAGTGACGTTGCAAGAAAAAAAGCATCACATGATCATGTTCTCAGGAGCTCCTATATCAGGTATACTGTTTCGTCCAACGCTATGGCCGCTGCGCTATAGGAAGAAATTGGTGTACTGAAAAACCGTCCTGCCATGTAGATTGGATACGACACTGTGCCACCCGATAGCTGCACATGGGCTTCGACGTACCACGCTGATGATGAGCACTTGTGTGCACGGGTGCCCCCGTCAGTATGTATGAGATAGTTCGCTTTCTGCGCAGACACGTTGCCCACAGGAACTACGAACTTCTTACTCCATGGCTTCTGGATGTCCATGGTGTAGTTCGCAATGTGGTCGGCTATCCTATTGTAGCATCGTCGGCGCCACTGCACAAGGTTCAATTCCGGCTGGCTCGTCACCCAACCATTTCCCACCAAACCGAACAATTTTTCGGACACGCGGGTGAACTAAAGGCTCGCAATCAGTGGCAAAACAAAATGGTCGTTCGGGCCCAGCCCACTGCATCTCTGGAGCGCCCTCGCCATGCGTGGCCGGCAAGTCGCCGAGGCTGTGGTGACTTGTCCGGGATCGGCGCGCAAGCGGTGGCCCTACGTGCCGGTCGTCGTTCTCCTCCTCCTGCTCCCTCGGCCTGTACAGCTTCCAGCGGGCGCAGGTCTGGGATTCAAAATCGGGGTAAAGCCGCATCCACTCAGCAAGCGTTGTACACGTATCCCGCTTCGCTCGCCAATATACCCCGGACGCGTCGACAAACATATTTTCCCATTCTGTCCTGTGCCCCATCCCCACGTGCACGTGCCCATCCAAACGTCGCTTGTAATACGATTGCGTCGCCAACGCTGTTGTCCACCAGTGCCGAGTCCGGAAGGTGCGAACCATTTCCAAATAGTTTGGGAGATGTCGATCTCGTAGTCCGCGCTCCCTCCACGCGTGCTTGAAAACCTCCTGTAACAAACGCAAGTGTAAATGTATATGACCTGTGTTATGAAAGAAACGTTGTATCCGTCGAGATGTGCGTAACATGTGCTGTGCTTGACCCTCGTCTGGCCTACGCTTCAAGTTCAAAGCTTTGCTTGAGAAGCTGTTTTCCCACCGCCTCGCACGCATCAGAACATGTTTGCACAAATGACACGAGCAACATCCGTAAACTGCCGAAGCCGAGGGGGCAGCAGACCACGCACGCAACTTGGCCGCAATGGAGCCTTGACATCTGAATGATTTTGCGCACTTCCAGAAAATTTGTCCGCGCATTCCAATCTGTGCTCCAAACTCGCTATGGTGCTTCCGTCATTGTGCAAGTAAGTGCCCAAAGACATGATGTGGTCTACCATCCTGTACCCATCGATCGCTGCTGCACCGCCGTCGCGTAAAGACCCGCATGGCATATGTTCCAAAGATGTGTCTTTCCAACGAAAGCCGATTGAACGCATAGCGTCCGTGAGCTCCCGCGGCACGCAAAGAAACTCCTGCGCGGTGCCAGCGATGATCCAAATATTGTATGCCCAAAGCAAATGCCTCAATGGCAAGTCGTCGTCGTCAAACTTGAAACCCATGCCCCGCTCGTGCTAACTCTGGGTCAACGGTTCCAGCGCCCATTCTAAAACCGCGTTGAACACCTCTGGAGTCTTCACTCCTCCTTGGTTGCCTCCCCGGTGCGCATCGAACTCCTCGGATGCTTCCATGCCGGGCAGCGACAGGCTGCCCTTCATGCTAGAGGTTTCCCGAAGCACTGCTGCCGCAACAGTCGGATGGGCCCCTCGATCGGCGAGAGCCCGTGAAACTGGATCGCGGCGCATGCTGTCGAAAGCAAGCTAGATGTCCTGCGATCCGATCACCAGCTCCCTCCCCCACCTCCCGGCCGAGAAGACCGTCTGTCT